GGCTGGACCCTGGGGTGTCTGAGTAAGTCCTCACCTTTGAGCAGTGACCTTTGAGGTATTGAGTATGCCCGGCAGTTGCTTCCATGGAAATTTTCTTTTCCCCTTTTACGTGATCTTAAAATCGTCTGCAAGAAAATAGCATCTAGGCCTTTATTTTCAAGCTTCAAAGCTTGCTTGAAAAACAAAGGTTTCTTTTCTGAGGAAATTTGGAAGGCTGTTTGAACTCGTGTGTCAGAATGATTGGGCTTTAAAAATGCCATTTGGAGGTGGCAGCTTCAGTCCCTATTTATGAAATGTCACCGGGGGCCCAGTCGGGTGTCAGAAAGCAAGCAGGACATTACCAGAAGAACAAGACATATTTCTTGGCGTAATCAGTAGCTTTCATTCCTTTTCCCCCATGAGGTCCTCAGAGCAGGAGCAGCCCCAGGGAAGGTGGGCAAGGTTGTTGTTAATCCTATTTTCCAGAGGAAACTGAGGCTCGGCGAGGGTTCAGGACTTTGTCAGGAAGGGATGTAGCCAAGCAGGGGCCCGACTCCCGGCTCCCCGACTCACATAGGCGGCCGTCTTTGTGGGCACACAAGCCGGTTACATCACGTGGTCGCAGGTATCGGCGCGTCGGGATTCAGGGATGGGGATGGGGATGGGATTGGGAAGGACCTGAAGGACCAAGGGAAGAAGACCTTGGACTTGTTGGAGCGGAGTCGATGGCAGGGTGTGCGCGCTGGGGGTGAGTGCTGGGATGGCCTCGGGGAGGGGACAGCGCTGTTGTCCTCTTATCAGGGGAGCCGTCGCTGCATCTTGCTGCGTCTTGAGAGTTCCTGTGGCTGTCAAACTGCTGATGGGACTCACTTTTGTGACATCCGTGTTCCTCCATCTGCGAGCGTGTCTGACGGCCTCTATTGTCTCCTACCTTTGGCTGTTTTCCTGTTTTAAAGGTGATTAAGCCTTAGGAGGAGATTATCAGACAATTTCCTCATCAGAAAGAAGTGAAATCACGAGTTGGCATGGTCTGGTCTCTGTGGTCCCCTGCGGGTTCCCCTCTGGCCGACTTCCTACCTCCGGCAGGGGAAATGAGGAAGCCACACGAAAAGCCCTTTCATTCCCTTGGGCCTGAACTTTCCACCAGGATTTCTTCTCTAGAGTTCTTGTAGCCACTCCCACGCGCAGAAGGCCCCCTTGCCTCTCACTGTAACTCTGCCGGGGAGTATCTGGAGAGTTCCCCTTTCCTGTAGGACCTTCCGGCAGGACTCCCATGTGGCTTGTGTCTTCTCGTCACTGGGCAGGACTGGCGACGACTGACGCTCTTCTCTAGTGCTTTTCAAATGGCCAGAGGTCCACTTTGGTTTCATGTTTCCCTCTGAAGAATGCCCACCGCGTCCTCCTTGGCCATCCAAATGGTTTTCAAGCAGTTTGCAGCGTCAGTGGCAATGTCCGTAGGTCTTACTTTCCACGACCCCGTCTACATGCCGATAGATGTAAGGGGCATGCCCTGAGGTACTGAGCAGAGGTCGAGTGAGCACCTCCCAGCCCTTGCACAGTGAGTATGTGGATGTTCAAGATGGCAGCCCTCCCGCCCTCACTCGTGGTCTCGTGGGTGAAGTGCAGACAGACACTTGCCACAGGCCGGTGGAACAGCAACGTGGATGCCCAGAAGAGAGAACACCCAATGTTTTTGCAAGGTCTGGAATATCTTGAGCTGTGCTGCCATTTGACTGGTTGTTATGGGGGTGGAGAAACTGGGAGTGGATGGCTGTCCACCTTGATTCCAGACTCTGATTCAGGGTACGGTAGAGACGAGTTTGGACTTTGCAATTGAAGACCTGAATTTGCGTCTTGTTTGTGCCATTGCCAATGTGCTCCTGGGGGAGTTGACAGGGATCGCTGGGGAAGAAAAGTGGTGGTGAGCAAGCCTCAGTGAAGTCAATTCGAGGAATCGTGGTAACCCGGTTGTGGTCCCGGACGATTTCCTGGAGCCTCTAACTCATGCACAGTCCCAACTGCCAATGCATAGTGCTGGCCCTCAGAGAGGACGTGCACTTCCTAGACGTCATTTGGGTGATTTCTAAAGCGCAGAGCATTTTGTCAGATTATGATTCTACGAAGCATACTCGGGAAACGCGGTCATGACTCATTTCTAGCCATTAAACCTATTAATCTGTGCACGTTTTTTTTGTTGTTGTTGTTGTTTTGTTTTTGTTGTTTTTGTTGTTTTGTAGTTAGCACCACATTCACCTTTTGAGAAACAAAAGTTAGGCAGCTCTTGGACAGGGTGTTTCCATGGTGAGGGAAAGTAGACGTTAGCTATTGGATAGGATAGAAAATTTGAGAAAGAGGAAAAAAAGGATATGGGATCTCCAGACCCCTTCTAGTGCTCCAATTACATACGACTTTTCAAGGGAATACTTGACTGTTCGTTTCACAGATGAAGGCGCTGTTGACTCACATTATGCTTGGTCTTCCGCCGACCGCCGTTATTTCGCTAACCACAATCGTTTGTTCCAGAACGCGGTCTTTACTTCTAACGTGTTGTTTTGGATTTTAAGTGATTGTTACAACACTGATACGTGCTGATTACAGAAAACCAGCTGAGAGTAGAGTAGAAAATGACCCCACATTTGGAAAAAGGGATTCTTTGGTGTTTTTTCACGTGTAGGAATCTGCAGTTGTTGGACCAGATGCTCTCGAAGCTCAGCATTTCTGTGATTCTCTTGTGTCTCTGTGACGTTGCAGTGGCTTATGTACGTTTGAAGACATTTCTCCACCAGGAAGTTTGGTAGATTCGGCCACTTCGCCGCGTTATTTCAGATTATCTCAGAAAGTAGGTAGTAAGCACAGAGGGAATCCCCAACCTATACCGAGGCATATCCGGAGCACTGTTGGATGCTGGCTTAGAGAACATTCTTCGGTATCTGTCCGGGTCTAATCTAATGCTCCTTCAGGAACGATGGGCCAGGGAGACCCTGGACCAGGCCCTGCGGCCAGCTGCGCCCTCCCCGGCAGGTGGTTCTCCAGGTGCAGCCAGTTGCAACTTCCCTGGCAGGTGGTTCTCCAAGTGCGCGGGGCACCTTCCCCGGTAGCCGGTTCTCGGGGCATGCGCTGTGCCTTCCCCCGGTGGCCGGTTCTCAGGGCGCGCCCCCAGGGACTGACGTGCGGCCCCCTCCTGACTGTGTCTCTTGCCTCCGCAGAAGGAAGACCCCCGGTGCACCATGAGGTGAGCGCGCTCGGGCGCCCAGAGCCCCGGAGAGCTGCGTGCGGGCTGCGGGAGCGGCTCCGCGCGTCTGGCCTCGCACGTCCCCGGCATGAGGCCGGGCAGCATGGGCGCGCCGCCGCGGGACCGCTGACCCCTGCCCGCCGGGACCATGAAGGAGGTGGCGCACTGGTCCCCCAGGAAGGTGGCAGACTGGCTGCTGGAGCACGCCATGCCCGAGTACTGTGAGCCCCTGGAACACTTCACGGGCCGGGACCTGATCGGCCTGACCCGGGAGGACTTCACGCGGCCGCCCCTGTGCCGCGTGTCGGCCGACAGCGGGCAGCGGCTCCTGGACATGATCGAGACCCTGAAGGTGGAGCAGCACATGGAGGCGCACAAGAACGGCCACGCCAACGGGCACCTGGGCGCAGGCGCGGCTGGCCCCGGCCTGCAGGCCACGCCCAACGGGGTGCCTAACGGCTACCGGAAGGAGATGATCAAGATCCCCATGCCCGAGCCCGAGCGCTCCCAGTACCCCGTGGAGTGGGGCAAGACCTGCCTGGCCTTCCTGTACGCGCTGTCCTGCTTCGTCCTCACCACGGTGATGATCTCGGTCGTCCACGAGCGAGTGCCTCCCAAGGAGGTGCAGCCCCCGCTACCGGACACGTTTTTTGACCATTTTAACCGCGTGCAGTGGGCCTTTTCTATCTGTGAGATTAACGGCATGATCCTCGTAGGACTCTGGTTAATTCAGTGGCTGCTCTTAAAATACAAGTAAGTGGGAAGCGAAAGCTCTGGGCCGCGGCGATTGGAGTGGGTGGGGGAGCGGTCCGGGGGGGCAGGCGTCTGGTGCGGGTTATTGGGCAGTGACGCTCAGCAGGAGAAAACCCTCGGACCCCTCCGGAGGGCACAGGCTCCTGCATCACGGAGGAGCCACCCAGCGTTGGTGCCATTAACCCCCCAAATAAATCGTTGACTGACCCGTGTGCCGTGACGGCTGCGTGGCTTTTCCCACGCAGGGTCAGACACGCAGACCCTCAGCAGTAGGGATTTAAGGACGTCTCGCACCCAGAACGCAGGACAGCCGTTCCAGGGTGGCCTGGGCTGTTGGAAAGACGGCACCCTTGGGAAATGACTGTGCATGAACCCGCACAGCTTTCCACCGTCCAGAATTCACAGCACTTACAGTCACGTGGGGCTGTTCCACTGAGGCTTCTCAGGAGCTTGCACAGGCACCTCCTTTTGGTTGCCGCTGGGTGCCAGGTGGCTTTCGTGTCCTAGGCTGTGCACTCAGTACGGACCCCTCGGGCGAGCTGGTTCCCCAGGCCCACAAAACCCACCTTGCCCCCATCGTCGGTGTCTGGCTTTTCCATTAGTGGAACGTTTTCGTGTTGCATGCGTGGGAGCTGGGAACCGATTTGCGACTGTGTCCAGCGGACCGCGTTTCATGACCCCCAGTGTGGTTGAGTTCAGTTAAGGAGATCATCTGAAATCAAGGCAACCAAGTGCAGACAGAGCCTGTGCTGAACTTTTATCCAAGAAATGATGAGTTTTTTTCCTGGTATGTTTTCTTATTAATTCTTATATAAAGACAGCATTTCTTATAAATTCTGTATCTGCCCGTGGAAGCGAACGCAGTTCCCCACCGCGTGCCGGGAAAGAAGGGCCTTACCCCTTTATAAGGGAAGTTGTTTAAGTGGCCGGTGCCGACTTTGGGGTTGGCCTGGCACTTCCACAGTAAACTGGGTTTGAAATACAAACCGTGGTCTGGGCTGCATTTGATTTGGCGGAAGACTTTCGTTCGCTTCGTTGTAATAGGCTGAGTAAGCAGGAGAGGCTCTAGAAGTGTGAGGTGCTGAGAATTTACTTAATGCGTTTTTTTTCAGCTGCCAGACTTCACATCTGCTTTTGACGTAAAAGCCCATGAGAAGAAAATGCCAGTAGGATTTCTGGGTTTTGTCTGATCTTTGTTATTTTGTTTACCCTGAGTTTGTTTTCTGGTTTTTCGTAAAAATTCGCACATGCAAGTAAATGATTTACTGCCCCAGAATGAAACCCTGCAGATCAGTCAACACTGTGTACAAGTTCGAATCTTTCACTTTTATTTAACTAATTTTTAATTAGTCAATTAATTTTTTTTAGGACCGTGCCTTTT